ATGGAGGCGTTGTGCTGAGCGAGTGCGTGGACAGTGCAGTACACACAAGTGTACAGTGGGAGGGTGGAGAGGTGGGTGTGGGGTCGCATGGGGATGGAGTGGTGCAGGCCACAGAAGTGTTGGTTGGGTGGTGGAGAGTGAGTAGGAGGCAGTGGGTGGAGTGGAATGGATGGAGCGAAGTTGACCAACGGTGGGTCCGCCATTGAGTTACGCCACTCCGATGTGTGATCTGTGTCTACGGCACGTTTGTTTGTCAAATAGCACGTTTAGTTCCTTACCATCACCTCATTTTACCCAGGCTGTCTGACGAATGACAAACAAATTCTTGATTTCATCTTATAAAATGTGGTGAAGTTTGTTGACTTTCTTATTTCTGTATTTTTGTAGGATAAGTGGCCTTTAAAGTAATTGGCATTCCTTTTTGCAAACCATAATTTTTGTACCGTTTCTCGCAACCCGGCTTTTCTGCCGCCCTTTCCTAATACCTTAGTAAAAATGCCAAGAGAAGCTTTTATAGATGCAGGACCGAACAAAGCTCAAATACCGCGTGCTGATTTTTGCCAGTGTTCATTGTATGAAAGCTTTAAATGGTAGTTATGGGACAATCGTTTTATTGAGTTGGAATTTTCCATACCTTAAGAAGCATTTGCATGTTTTTACCAGTTTCTTTCGTGTTAACAATAAACCGCTTCTGCTAACTGCGTTGGGAATTGAACTGTTCCTGATTTCTCTTCGATAGATTCGCGGTGGTACTCTACTTGTCATTCGGCATTAAAATATTTCTAGTTTCACAGAAATTCCCATTTGTTTAATTTGTATATCGAACGGAACAATTCGACAGACATTTAGAGTTGTTGAAAGCCTATTTTTTGCTTTTGGATACTGCATGGGATCAATAGTCAGCAATTGAATTTCCCGTTAGAGTCTTTATCCTTTTTAACTTCGGAATAGTTGCCTACTTGCTTTGGCTTATTTGAGTTAGTTTAAAATTTCAAACTCTGACATTCATCTCAATGACCTTCTTACTATAATTTTACAATATGTAAGATTTTTGAACATCTCTCTTCGTCAAGAGCTAACGTGAGATTCGGAGAGTCAAAACTATGGTGGGGAGGCGAGGAAGTTCATTTTTGCAAACTTTACCAGGAAAGTTGAAATTCCACTTGTCCCATGACCTTAATTATCTATTTCGCAGTTACGATCACCTTGGAACCTGTTTCATTATGCGGAGACAATTTATAACACCAAAGTGTTATTAATTCTGAATGAAGTGCTTTTGTCTGCCTTCTAACAAATGTAACAGCTATCGGCACCTCCACGCTTAGAACTTCTATCCCTTAATTCCTGTTATATCGCGCCAATCGTTTTCTACAAAGAATGCAGTGGCATTTACTTAGCCACAAAGCATTCTACCAACCGGAGCATTTGTTGGTTTAGTCGTTTCTATTTTACAATTAGGCGTAAAATTCGCTTCCAATATTAAAGTCCTGTCACCAGTCGTAACGTCCACTTAAAATCACTAGTGGCATTTGAAAGCAAAGCTGGCACCTTTGCATCAGTGTCTTTGCCAAGCTTTGGCGACAAGTGATATGAAGAGTCTTATTGCTTGCTTTCTAGAGTTATGTTTTTTTAGGTCTACCATGCAATCAGTAACCAAGGGAATTTCAACTTCAACTATCTCTGCTTTTTAATCTGTGCTGCCATTGTGGCTGACATAGCGTTGGTCACTGACTCTGCCGCCTGTGTCTTCGCCAGTATGCTCCTCTCTCCCCTCATGGTATGTCGATGGTCCTTCTACCTTATCAGCGGTACGGACAAATCCTATGTGACGGGAATGCATGAACCGCGTTGTTTAGCAACTCCTCCTACTAACTGATTCTCATTTTTGTTCTGACTTGCTTCAAAACGGTTGCTAGGTCGGGCTCTTATAAAATCACTTAAATTTCTTTCTTTGTTCTATCAGACAAATTCGCTGATCGTTGGTGAGAGACATATTTGTCTATTCCCTCTTGCAACTTCTGATCCTAAATGCTCACATTAAAATGTGTGAGGTGTGAAGTCAACGGCTATGTTTTGGTTTTTGGCTGTTTAAACATGTCACAAACTGACACCCGCATAGTCTGGGATACATCATCAACATTCAACTTACTTCGGTTTTTCACCTAGCAAAATTGATAAATTGCTATAACTTTATTGACGATACGGGTTCTGAACAAGTGTTGGATTCTGTGTTTTAGCTTACAAGCAGTAGATTGCGCCTAGTTTCGGCTAATGAGGTGGTGTCATGATGAATATGCTAAATATAACTGCTGCAGCATCACTGGAATTTCTTAAGCCGGATTTACTTACAAGAACATTCCCCGTGTTTTCGTTCCCTTGTTGGTACGAATGAAGTGTTTATGCGGCAGTAGTTAAGGGCGTCTTTTAGTTATCAGCGGCTAAACTAAGTTTGATCTTTAAACTGCAGAACTCACAATTCCTTGTATTCGTTTATTCAAAGGGACCAGGTGAGATTGAATTCCTCGGTTATGGTTCCTATGCCGTTTAGCCCTAGCGTTGAAGAAAATCAAAAATATCTAACAACTCTGGTATCTGTCCTTTCTTTAGAGCTGATCATACTTCATCACTCGAAATAACTATTCATAAACCACTTCTTTTGAGGAAAGAGCAGAGGAACAATGAGTGAGCATTAAGCAGAACTCTCAAAACGGCACAACAATAATGATTTTGCTTTTGGCTTAAAAATAGCTATTATAGCTTATTTAGAGACGGTATAGTATTACTCGCTGATTATACGCCATAAGGCATGTGTCTCAATCGGCGTTCATAATGCTGTCAAACAAATGCACGATAACTACACAGAAGTTATGCCAAAATTTGCAAATTTCACAACTGTATTAACTAAGTGGACACCACTTTCTGCAGTTATACAGCTATTTTCAAATTAAAAATTGCTGACAAGACTTAACTTAACTAAACTTTCACTCCGCAAGCGTAACTTCATTGTTTTCTGGCATTTTAAAACCCCCAATATCATTAATCTATTTTTGTAACCACAATGCGGTTTAAGTGCAGGTAATGCAAGAATGTTATGCTAAGATGTTTCCTGTTCTGGTGGAGCCTTTCTCACTCCTTTGGCTTTCTAATTTGGCCAACGTCATCTTCTCTTACTCAAATGCTCCACACAATAGTGACTCTCCAAAAGCTCAATTGTTAAAGATGTGGCGTCATAGAGTATGGTAAAGTGTATAAACCTTTTTTATAATAATTGCTAGGACAGCACTTCCTAAAATATCACCAAATTCTGTTACCCCACTAGGCTATTTCACCTCCTCGTTCCTAAAGGTTTTGCTCGTGTGTGATGTGAGATCTCCCGGGGGGTGGGGGAGGGCGGGGGGGGGGACACTATTGGACATCCAAGTTTATCAGTTGTACTGGCTCGCAGCGATTGCATTTTGAATAAAAGTGCGTAGTAAATGTCATTACTGAATTGTTACACAACTTCCTTCTTTAAAATTGCATCAGAGACCATAATCTTGTTTGAACGGTGAATTATCATGCCTGTTTTATCTTGTAGGAGCCCATTATGTGCATTATTTTTGGTCTGAGCCTTCGTGAACCACGAATGACCACGAAGGGGTTCCGAAATACATCTGTATCTCTCATTATTTGCATTATTGTGGGTATGTTCGCACTTATCAAAAGAATGCTCGAGTTTGGTGAGTAGATTTACCCAACTCTGTACCATATTATCTCTCAGGCATTGCTTTCGGCATTCCTGCCCACTTTATCAGCATGTTCCAAGGCATCGCACCATATCCGACTAGCGAGATGTCTAGCAGGTTGGCAAAGTTGTCATAAATTGGCCGCTTCTTTATTTCCACTGCTACTAGCTTTGGAATGTTGTTGTAGTCTAATTATGTAATTCTTAGCTGGTCCTCAATTCAACTATTTAACTTTTAGTTTTGATGGATTGCAATGTCGAAATCATTTTTTTCATTTATTCTTACCAATGTGCATTGGTCGGAATTAGTATTAATATTCATGCCTTTTTACTTGTTTCCTTCATTTAGGTCATGCTCAAGGACCTTATTTATGTGTGACTGTGTCCATTTTCCCGTAAATGCATCACCATTTCATTATGCTTTACCATTAGAACCGTTTAATAAGCCTCCAACATGTCCCATTCTTACATAGCCATCAAGATCAAGTACAGATAATAAGAAAGGCAGGTTTAACTGGAAATAAAAGAGGGCCAGAGGTTGTCATAGGCATAAAACATTTTGGTCGCAACTTCTGGGTCCTGCTGAATAGGCACTATGTAGCAGTTTCTTGCTGGAACGCATTGGGCTTAGTTAATCACTCCTAGCATACGGTCTTTGTGTCAGATTTGGAAGAGAAGAACCCCAAACATAAGCAAATTTGTGGTGCCACAGCCAATGTCTCTGATTACTTATGTAATCTATTTGATTTAAGTGAGATTATTGACTTACTCCTTCCACATTCTTCTTATTCTTACAGAGGGGAAGCCAAGGCGCTTATCGCCTCAATCGTTGTGGCCTCGGCCTCGGGAGTGAGTGTATCCTTTGCCATTCTTTCCAACAGTCTGGCTGCAATGATTGGGAACGCTATCTCCCTCTCCCTCCTTCCACCCTCTGTCAATTGCGTACGTTGATTTTTTCGTTTCGTTTTCAAAATCAAAATTTGTTGAAAATTTAATGCCAGATATCGTTTGTTTTGTCAACCTTAAGCATCGATCGTTAACTAAAAAATACTCTATTTTCCTCCAATTGTTTTTACCATTTTAGAAGTAAATGTCTTATCACAGCATTATTTGCTGTTGCCATTGACTAAAGCTGTACGTGGGTCCTGTAATACCGATGGAAGAATTAGCGTATCATTTTTTATGAGCGGCAGTTCATGCTGTTGTATGTTACTAATCTTTTTGCTCTTTTCCTTTCGTCAAGTTATGATGAAGGGTCGTTGGGAAAAAACCTTTGCTAACTTACTTTGTAATAATAACCGCTAAGCGGACACATCATAAGCTGAGTGAATCCAAAGACTGACCCACTCTCCATCGCTCAGTGACTTACCTTCATATGATAACTGCTTAACTACACTTAGAAGTGGGACCCGCCTACTCAATACGATACAACTCGGTGGTGTATCAGAAAATTCCCCTCTTTGCAGATGGAAGTAAAGTGGCCTATTGAATGTGATATTCCCACTTTTACAGAAGAACAATGAAATTCTCTTTGTTTCTGGAAATACTTACATGAATATCTTACTCCACAGCATTTTCTTGCCTGATATGTTCACATTTGATTGCCTTATGCTTACAGGATCAAAGTGAGTCCTCAAAATGGAATGAGTCTGCTCACTTTTGAGAAGACTACTTCGTTTTTGTCGACAGCATAATTAGTAGATGTTTTCAGTATTATGGTTCTTGTACTAAGCAGTATGTGTCTCAGTGGTATTGCCCATTATAAAATGAAGAGGTATCATTTGTGTTCACGGTTGTGTGAATTTAATCGTGAGAATAGATAAACCAGAAATGAACAGTAGACGTTGACAACTTGAGCAGATCACCCAAGTATCAGCTTTACTTTGCGCGGCTTGAATTTCGCACTTGCGTGTAGAAAGTTTGATTAATCGCTGAAGGAGGAAAAAGTCAAATTGACTGTTGTAATTATCCATGAGGCCTGATTTGAAAAGAGTGAGTCGAGCCTAACAGCATTTGTGGTTGATAGTGGTTTGTGCATAGATTTGGCGCTTACCCACTATCAGCCACCAGTTGTTCAAATGTCTTAAATAATTCCATCCTCGAAATTTTGCTTAATTCACTCTGCCTTAACCTCGAAATAAAAGCTCTCTCTAGCTGTCAAACTATTAATGGACCTTGCGTAGGCCAACAAATGTCTCACGGTATCTAACCCATGTGGACCAGGAAATGCTCAAACGAATAAACGAAATACCTAAAATACTGAACAATGGGCACGTAATGTCAGGATTATTGCATGAATGACCTGCTTCAGAAGACCCCCTTTTTCTGTATTGCCAAATTAGTTGTTAATATGTGCTTGCAGAGGTGTATCTCTTACCTTAATCTCTTTAACACAAGAATAGGATGCTAGTTTTGTGTAAATGGGCTTCTGTGTTTGAACTTTGAACTTTGACTTTCAGGGTCAGTTCTTCCTTCTCGCGGTTATCGCTCTTATTGACCGTCCCTATGTGATGGTAAGATGTTTACTCATAAATCGCTCTCCCCTATACACCTTAGATTTACCCATTCAAAACCGATTTTGTTTAGCTTATTTCACAAACCTATACCTAGTATTGTCGCAGTAATAACTTGAAGTTCGGTTTAAAAATGCAAGCTTTGCAAAATGTACTGAATATGTCCTTTTCCGAAATAACCACACATCCAATTGCCCGCTGCGATTGCAGAATTTGGTTGGCGTAATGAAGAACTGCTTAGTTTCGTGGTTGTTTACTAGCTCTGAATAGCTCATCACATTTCTTCTGCATAATCCCTCTTTCTTGCTTTGATGCGCGCTTCTTACGACTGACTAAGTGACCGTTTATTGCTACCATTTCGAAAATGACCTCCTTTTTACCTTGCAAACTACCGTCCCCGAATGATAACATCATCGCCTTATTAATGTATCATAACGCACCTTACTCTGCTAAAAATGATCACTTCAATCATCGTTTGCACTGCAGCATACGTATTTTATTGTGGTTCTTCAACCAATCTACTCTGCCTCACTTCTCCTCATTGCTTACATTAACCCAACGAATTTCAACTTAATAGCTGATTGTGCGTGCTGTCTGAGAGACATCAATCTAGGGTGAGACAAATCTCAATATGACCCACCATTCACTCGTTTGGCATAGAGATGGTCATAGCTTTGCTCTGATAAAATTGGCTACACGTCTCAAATGAGTGAATATTACGACGGTAAGTGCTGTGCCTCTAATGTAATATTTTCCAACTTGCGCATTGACAACTTTAGTGCCTTGCTGTGTTTGTGTTGGTAGCGTCTTGACCTCAAGCAACACCTTGATGTACCAACTTGTAACGCAAAAAGACACGTAGCAAACGTTTTAATTCTCAATGCAGGTAGTTATGCAAACTGGAACACCTCGAGACATTGCAAAACCACCTCTACGCATTTGGTTTTATTGGGAATGTCTTTTGTTGTGGGTACTCACTTTTCTTGCCTAGCCTACTGCAGTGGCTGGATCAGCGAAGTATGGTTGTCTTTTTTCAAAGGAGATATAAAAATAGTTGTGTTTTGGTAGTGTTATTAGTGGTCATTACTTGGAAAGCTGTTACACCTGTCTCACTTAATTATCTCGAAAGGCAAAAATGGCACTTTATTTTGAGACATTGCTGTGACACGAATCTGTCCGAGATTGCCATAAGATACAATTTCATTACAAATTGACATTGGCATTGAACGACTGCTAAGGATGGTTATATGAATAGAGTGTCTTCTCTACAAGAAGAAGACGGACTATCTGATCAGAGGAAACATCCTTCTGCTATAGCAAAATGTTAATGTTGATAGCATTTTAGCCGTCCCCAAGGCTTACCTGAAGGGGCTTGATAAGGATTTTCTTCACGCACGTTTGTGTAATGGAGTAGATACTGTAACCGGTTTTTTAGTAATACCTGAAGCGTTAATACTCCCAGGACTCTCAGTCACTAGACAAGTGGTTTCAAAGTTCAAAGACCCTTGGGAAAATAAAAAAATCAAGAGAGACGTCGTACATTAATGTGAATTACCTGTCCTTGAGCGTGCTTGTTTTTAGAAGGCTAGTGCGAAATTGTTTTCGTTAATATATCCTACCAATTCTTACATCTACGACTAAATGTTGCAGTACCTCAGAATGTTTCATTCATCATCATCTGAGTTTTTCCAATTGGATTGCGCTGTCTATTACAAGGCGGATTTAAATCCTCTCAGCATCTGTGATTAGAGCCTTGCAAATTGTGCTGTATACTGATTGGACGGGCTACGGGGATTGAGGTTTGTCGAGCAGTTCGAATTGGACCAACTTTCAATTATGCTAAGTTGATACGTTGCATGCACTGGTTTGGATAACTTTACTTAATGTTATGCTAAAGCGAAAATGTTGTGTGCAATCCAAGAACCCCGCGCCATCTTCAAGAGTAGCTGGACTTCTATTTGAAAACAGTTGCGCTACGTAATCCCTTAGCAAACTCACATTATCTTTTGTGCAAATAGAAAGGATTTACTTGTCAAATTTACTCATTACCGCGGTTTCTATCTAAAATGACATTACCATTTTGCGAGAGCATTGCAAAAGTAGCTTTTGTCTGAGGGAAGTCATTTTCATTTTAAAGCTTATCATTATCGCTTGGAGTGAGTAATTCAAATTAACTTTTGGGGTGTAGCCAAATACATTTTAAGACTCGCGTCAAAGGAGCCGCGGTTCGCAAACACTCCAAACTGAATGAGCGTCTTCTGACATCCCTCCGAGTCGACAAAGTCGCTCACTGAGCCCAATCTCCAAAATCTTATGCTTACAACGCCAGATTTGCAGTCGTTCAAATTCCAGGCATAACGTCCATTAGTTGCTGTAGCCTTCGAGGTTTATGCAAGCAATGGTGCTTTTATACCTAATTAGAGGTGGCGTCAGAGAGGATGGAAACTGCATAGCCCAAAACCTCTTTCTCTAACCCCCAAAATATGCTAGCATTGGAGGGCTAATGAGCTTCTGAGCGTTTTTTACCTTTTACAGGAAAATTTCCAACCTTGCTAAACCAGAATGTCTTCCACCCTCTTAAAGGTTGACCTCGAAAAATTCTCGAAAGTTATACAAAAGGAGATAAAGTCCAATTTTTAGTGTTGACCTTTGACCCTCGAGTTTACCTGTACGTGTTTAACCACTTTGCTCCGTCAAATTGACAGTGCCCGCCTCGTTCATGGCTCAAAGGGGATGAGACAATGTAATTCGTTAATTTTTAAAACTTTTTTTATCAAAGGTGGTTGATCGTCACCACTGATGGGCCTTTTTTGGTCACGCCACACTAAACCATCTAGAAGGCACAGATTAAACTACTTGTGTATCAAATACTAATGATCACTCTCAAACAACTTTGTTCATGCAATTTCATCCATTTATCTTAAACTATAGCTTGTTTTCCGAAAGAAATGGATTTTCAAAATGTCCCAACCGAGTTCGTTTAAGTAGAGAGGTTCTGTGTTTAACCTGCCTTTGAACAGTTCCATTTGGCTAGAACTCAAGTTGTTATTGAAAGTAAACGAGACTTGAATCTGTAAGAGTTCATTAAACTGTTTTGACCACATGAATTCTTAAATCTGATAAGTCTCTCCGCCTTGAGCATAAGGAGTGTTTCTCGCTGATTATGCTGAACATTTGGTTACGTTCCCTGTTAGGCTTTAAAGGGAAACCAAACGTCATTTCTGGCAGAAGCTGGTGAAGAGCGTACGTGACACACCGTTCACCACTTTTTTATCTGTAACAAACCAAAGCAGTTAAATTAATTGAATCTAAATTTTGCCCCTAAAAGTCATACGTAAAATGTTGTTAGATTGGATGTTCCTCAAATTCATAAAAGTACGACTGATTCTCACTTCTAGTTTTGAGTATCGATAAAACTAATTGGAATTTCCTCCTGATCAGTGGGACGGAGTGGAAGAAATTTTGTAAGCTAATGTTCGCAAAGTCACTTTCAGCTTTTGTCTTACCTCCAAACATCAAAGTTGCACAGTAGTGTCATAAAAGACAGCTTGAACGGTGAAGTGTTTACAACCAGTAATGGCATCAGAAGACCTACATTAAAGTTGGCAACTTCTCTAGCATCATAAATAATAATGTTGAATGCGAACAGTTCAAGTGTTAAGAAGAGACAATGGTCACAGTAGTAAGAAATTTAAGAAGGTTCTTTTTTTTCTAAGAAAAAAACGGACACGCTTAAAGAGAATAACACAATCTCGGTGACTGTAGTGCAGTGCCAGTACCGATGGATCAAAGATTACAACTTCATCTATATTACTAACGCTTGTGATGCACCTACTGAATTCGCCATTCGAGGTGTGGTCTCCTTCTGCCTCACTCTCCTCAACATCATTCTCATCATAATTACAGGCTACTCTGTCAATCGGGTAGGTAATCGTACAACTAACTCCACTCGCACCATACAATTTTCATGATGAAGTTTTACCTCCTCTGCCTTTCCCCATTTGTTGCCATTTTAGCTGAAAGACCTGGTGCCCCAATCCTTCACAAACGACGAGACTCGAAGGTTTTACACAAAGGATTTGAAAGTAAGTGTGCATGTGAATGCAGGATGGTTTTATTCCTTTACTAAGGTGGTGCTAAATTGCTGAACGGCAATCGAGCAAAAAAGGACTTTCAAACGCACCCAAGCATCCTTTAAGACTTTTAGGAGGGGCATTTAATAGTTTTTCACACTGGCTTGTTCTAATTGTCATTATGAGCATTGGTATTGCTTATCCCTGCAACAACAATAAAAGCCTTATCGTCTTTTTAACAGCATTTGTAAGACAAAGTTATTTTTTTAGTTTCAAAGCTTATTTTGGGTGTTACAGACTGTGATGTATTTGGCTGTATTTGTAATTTCACAGTAAGGATAAAAGATTCATCCCTTTGCCCGTGTTGGAATCGTTTCCTTCTAACTTCAATCAAACCGTTTAAGGTGATTTTGACGAGACTCATTCAAATGTCCGATATAACACCATTTTTGAGTCAAGTTAAGAAAAATGGAAATTTTATGCATAACCTCCTCATGTTTTTTTTGGCAAGACTAGCGATGAAGTGGACATTTTTCTATTTCGATCCAGCAGAAAGTACTTTACTCATGGGTTCCTCGCCAACGTTTGGGCGCTTGATGCAGAATTAGCACGTTGAGGATGTCTGTGGATGTTAAAATAAGGAACGGAAGGTTCACCATAAGGGTTCCCTTTACAAATGTAGTCACAAGAGTTCAAAGTTCCATCTTTTAAAAACCGCAAGGTATGGGTACCTTCCGGCCAAGATTATCCCATATCTATTTGTTTGTGTTTATGAATATAATTATGGTTATGGCAAATAGGGTTTATGAATGCCTTAAAGTCTACGCAAAAGTGTTTCTCTTCCTTTGATTTCTTGCGTTGATGCTTTGTCATAAAAGTGTTGGATGGGGAGGTAAGAATGGCAATCTGTTGAACAATTTTAACGTTGTCCTTGCCTAGTAGTCCTCCATGGATGAAAGGCATGTTATTAATTAGGTTTTTGATCACCGATTTCGTAGTTATAATTAAGCAGGAACCCACAATCAAGACAGAAGAGTTTCGTCAACTATTTCCAATACTGATTAGTTACTTTATGAAGTGTTGGGTTTGCAGATACCAAATTTGACGGTAAGAATAGACGACAAGTGGAAGATGATTGGGATCCATTTGTATGCAAGCGACATACGATGTGGTAATCACATATCAACAAGAGACTACATTCGAGAAGAAAAAACCTGAGTAGAATAATAGTGAAAGGGCATCTTCAGGAGGCTGTTGCTTGAAGTTACGTGAGCTGCCTCTTAGGGGACTTACTTATCATGGAGTAGAATTGTTGAAGGAGTAAACAAACAGAAAATCGTTAAAATGTGGACAATGGTGAGATGCAGTGACTTTCTATGGGGAAAAGAATGCGCCATATGTAAATAAGCGATCAAGGATACATAAGACCAACTGCCAATTTACCTCCTCATGTTGTTACCGATGATGATGGATGTGCAATCGCAGTGCTTGTGCACGAGGAAATAGAAATCCAATGCATTTTTCCACTGGATCCAAAAAATCCAGCCACAAAGACGCTCCACTACCATTTGATGCAGCCTAACACCCGATGTCAGACGTGGCATCTCCGAGACTACTCCCGAATCATTGCCTTATTTATCAAAGGTGGCCATCTAAGCACGATTTTTCATCTGCCATTTTTATGTTACCATTTGGTTATATGGCATTATTATTTGCAAAGTCGAATTAACATCTTGGTTATTGGTAGTCTGCATGCTCTCGAGGCGCAATGATCGTACCATAGTGGTCACAAGAGGTTACCGTTTCAGCACATTAGTACCGATTCCAAGATGTTTCGAACTGTTCGCATTGGAAGTGCATTGAATGTATGTCATCCATTTATCGACTACTTATGAGAGGGGTCAACGGAATCGCACGCTGACAAATGATCGCTAGTGACGTCCAAGAATTTGGCTCAAGTGGAAAGAGCTATAGCTCTTCAACTGATTCTTCTGCATTGTCAAAATAAGGATGGTGTTTGAGGTCTGCCAGACGCTTCCATTACAAGACGTCTTAGCAAGACTAATTTTCGCCTCTTTCGAAAACATTTGTTTACTCTTTGGGTGTAGGATGAATGCTAAATGCTGCGCAAATCTCAGTATGCGTTTGGTAGGAAAAGTTTTTTAGAATGTCTGAATCTAAACTCTCCATCACCACTAATAATTGCATTGCACTTTATATTTAAATTCCCATTTTCATTGATCATGGTATTAACAAACTTCTTTCCTTCAAAATACAACTGCACAAAATAATCTCGCGTTCATTTCAAATGTTTTTTTAAAGAACCAAGACACGAGTTTACCTCGATTAGGCTATTGAAAACCAAACTCTAGATGCTGGCCAGAAGTTTTCTCTGACATGCATGATTAACTTTAATGTGCAGTAGGTTTGAGCTTTTGCTTATCAGTGGAACAGCTTTGCCTCCGCCTTTAGGTTCATCAAATCCGTCCTTTGACTCCCTTGTTTATAGGAGGTACGCGACAACTACGACTGCGTGCATCGACTTAAGGCAGCTGATTTGGCTGCGCAGGCCTACCAGGAGTACCTTCGCCTTTCTCTCCATCCCACTGAAGGTGATTATACCGCAGAGGACACTGAACAACTCACAGCCAACTTTCAGGCCGTTATGGAGGTGAGTGGCTACAACGTAGTCCACAATCTGTCGTTCTTTTCAGTTTCCTTTTCGTGGAGCTTCAATTTAATTCTTTCTGTTGCTAATCTGATTAAATGAAGAAAATCTAAGCACAATTCTCGACCTATCCATGCAACTGTTTCCCCTTTATCCAGGCATCTATGGATACCGGTCTTCAATATTTTTCAGTGCTGTCACTGTTCTTCTTAAGGTTAAACAATGTAAAAATAATTACAATTCAAATGAAACGCCAACTTAGTGGTAGTTTTCTAGCCTCACCGAATTAAAATTTCAGTAGTTATTAGCACAAAGTTGTTTAATGAATTCTCATGCGCTCACTTTCTTGAATCTTGAAGCTTCCCACACAACACACCTAATTGCATGACTGTGGAAGCTATCTTTGGTGAACAATAAATAACACCCACCCCCTATCACTTAAGTTTTGTGGGCTGAAAACGTTTGGGGCACAGACCGTACAGTTTTTTGCAGGCGTAATTAACACAAAAATTAAGATTCCACTCTCGAGCCAAAAGCATAGGGGTACAATGTAGTTCCTCTTTGTTTCCCAAGGAAATAAAAAAATGAACAAAAGTACCATCGCTTTGGATGTAGGTGTATGTGTCCCGGGCTTGGCTTATCTAGACCTAATTACAACCTATTACAAGTCCTCTAAATCTCA